GAATTAAATTAAAAAGAACTACAAGCAACCCCTCATTTGCCAAGTATATGTAAAATCTCGTCCCCTATTAGAAATTCGTATGTTTTATGAAAAAACGCTCCTACCTAAGTTGCAGTATTCGATTGAAGGGGTTGTAAATTTTGTGGTAAGTCAAATATTTATATTTCCTTAATGAATTAAATTAAAAAGATCTACAAGCAACCCTTCAGGTGCCAAGTATAAGAAAAATCTCGTCCCGTATTTGAAGTTCGTAAGTTTTAAGCAAATTCGCTCCCACCTACCTTGCAGTATCCGTTTGAAGGGGTTCTAAATTTTGTGGTAGGTCAAATATTTATATTTCCTTAATGAATTAAATTAAAAAGATCTAAAAGCAACCCTTCAGTTGCCAAGTATAAGTAAAATCTCGTCCCGTATTAGAAATTCCTAAGTTTTAAGAAAATTCGCTCCTACCTACGTTGCAGTATTCGATTGAAGGGGTTGTAAATTTTGTGGTAAGTCAAATAGTTATATTTCCTTAATGAATTAAATTAAAATGAACTACAAGCAACCCCTCAGTTGCCAAGTATAAGTAAAATCTCGTCCCGTATTAGAAATTCGTAAGTTTAATGAAAATTAGGTCCTACCTAAGTTGCAGTATTCGATTGAAGGGGTTGTAAATTTTGTGGTAAGTCAAATAGTTATATTTCCTTAATGAATTAAATTAAAAAGAACTACAAGCAACCCCTCATTTGCCAAGTATATGTAAAATCTCGTCCCCTATTAGAAATTCGTAATTTTTATGAAAATTCGCTCCTACCTAAGTTGCAGTATTCGATTGAAGGGGTTGTAAATAATGTGGCGAGTCAAATATTTATATTTCCTTAATGAATTAAATTAAAAAGAACTACAAGCAACCCCTCAGTTGCCAAGTATAAGTAAAATCTCGTCCCGTATTAGAAATTCGTAAGTTTTAAGAAAATTCGGTCCAACCTAAGTTGCAGTATTCGATTGAAGGGGTTGTAAATTATGTGGTGAGTCAAATATTTATATTTCCTTAATGAATTTAATTAAAAAGAACTACAACCAACCCCTCATTTGCCAAGTATAAGTAAAATCTAGTCCCCTATTAGAAATTCGTAAGTTTTATGAAATTTCGCTCCTACCTAAGTTGCAGTATTCGATTGAAGGGGTTGTAAATTTTGTGGTCGGTCGAATATTTATATTTCCTTAATGAATTAAATTATAAAGAACTACAAGCAACCCCTCATTTGCCAAGTATAAGTAAAATCTCGTCCCGTATTAGAAATTCGTAAGTTTTAAGAAAATTCGGTCCTACCTAAGTTGCAGTATTCGATTGAAGGGGTTGTAAATTTTGTGGTCGGTCAAATATTTACATTTCCTTAATGAATTAAATTAAAATGAACTACAAGCAACCCTTCAGTTGCCAAGTATAAGTAAAATCTCGTCCCCTAGAAATTCGTAAGTTTTAAGAAAATTCGGTCCAACCTAAGTTGCAGTATTCGATTGAAGGGGTTGTAAATTATGTGGTGAGTCAAATATTTATATTTCCTTAATGAATTTAATTAAAAAGAACTACAACCAACCCCTCATTTGCCAAGTATAAGTAAAATCTAGTCCCCTATTAGAAATTCGTAAGTTTTATGAAATTTCGCTCCTACCTAAGTTGCAGTATTCGATTGAAGGGGTTGTAAATTATGTGGTGAGTCAAATATTTATATTTCCTTAATGAATTAAATTAAAAAGATCTACAAGTAACCCTTCAGTTGCCAAGTATAAGTAAAATCACGTCCCCTATTAGAAATTCGTAAGTTTTATGAAATTTCGTTCCTACCTAAGTTGCAGTATTCGATTGAAGGGGTTGTAAATTATGTGGTGAGTCAAATAGTTATATTTCCTTAATGAATTAAATTAAAAAGATCTACAAGCAACCCTTCAGTTGCCAAGTATAAGTAAAATCTCGTCCCCTATTAGAAATTCGTATGTTTTAAGAAAATTCGGTCCTACCTAAGTTGCAGTATTCGATTGAAGTGGTTGTAAATTTTGTGGTCGGTCAAATGTTTATATTTCCTTAATGAATTAAATTAAAAAGATCTACAAGTAACCCTTCAGTTGCCAAGTATAAGTAAAATCACGTCCCCTATTAGAAATTCGTAAGTTTTATGAAATTTCGTTCCTACCTAAGTTGCAGTATTCGATTGAAGGGGTTGTAAATTTTGTGGTAAGTCAAATAGTTATATTTCCTTAATGAATTAAATTAAAAAGATCTACAAGCAACCCTTCAGTTGCCAAGTATAAGTAAAATCTCGTCCCGTATTAGAAATTCGTAAGTTTTAAGAAAATTCGGTCCAACCTAAGTTGCAGTATTCGATTGAAGGGGTTGTAAATTATGTGGTGAGTCAAATATTTATATTTCCTTAATGAATTTAATTAAAAAGAACTACAACCAACCCCTCATTTGCCAAGTATAAGTAAAATCTAGTCCCCTATTAGAAATTCGTATGTTTTATGAAAATTCGCTCGTACCTAAGTTGCAGTATTCGATTGAAGGGGTTGTAAATTTTGTGGTAAGTCAAATAGTTATATTTCCTTAATGAATTAAATTAAAATGAACTACAAGCAACCCCTCATTTGCCAAGTATAAGTAAAATCTCGTCCCCTAGAAATTCGTAAGTATTATGAAAAAACGCTCCTACCTAACTAGCAGTATTCGATTGAAGGGGTTGTAAATTTTGTGGTCGGTCAAATATTTATTAATCCTTAATGAATTAAATTAAAAAGAACTACAAGCAACCCCTCATTTGCCAAGTATAAGTAAAATCTCGTCCCCTATTAGAAATTCGTAAGTTTTATGAAAATTCGCTCCTACCTAAGTTGCAGTATTCGATTGAAGGGGTTGTAAATTATGTGGTGAGTCAAATATTTATATTTCCTTAATGAATTAAATTAAAAAGAACTACAAGCAACCCCTCATTTGCCAAGTATATGTAAAATCTCGTCCCCTATTAGAAATTCGTATGTTTTATGAAAAAACGCTCCTACCTAAGTTGCAGTATTCGATTGAAGGGGTTGTAAATTTTGTGGTAAGTCAAATATTTATATTTCCTTAATGAATTAAATTAAAAAGATCTACAAGCAACCCTTCAGTTGCCAAGTATAAGTAAAATCTCGTCACGTATTAGAAATTCGTATAGGTTTTAAGAACATTCGCTCTTACCATACGTTGCAGTATTCGATTGAAGGGGTTGTAAATTTTGTGGTAAGTCAAATATTTATATCTCCTTAATCAATTAAATTAAAAAAATTTACAAGCAACCCTTCAGTTGCCCAGTATAAGTAAAATCTCGTCCCGCATTAGAAATTCGTAGGTTTTAAGAACATTCGCCCAAACCTACGTTGCAGTATTCGATTGAAGGGGTTGTAAATTTTGTTGTAGGTCAAATATTTATATTTCCTTAATCAATTATATTAAAAAGATCTTCAAGCAACCCTCCAGTTGCCAAGTATAAGTAAAATCCCATCCCGTTTAAGGATTCGTAATTTTTATGAAAACACTCTCCTACCTACGTAGCAGTATTCGATTGAAGGGGTTGTAAATTTTGTGATAAGTCAAATATTTATATTTCCTTACACAATTAAATTAAGAAAAACTAAAAACAACCCTGCAGTTGCCAAGTATACGTAAAATTTCGTCCCGTATTAGAAATTCGTAAGTTTTATGAAAATTGGCTCCTACCTACGTTGCAGTATTCGATTGAAGGGGTTGTAAATTTTGTGGTAAGTCAAATATTCATATTTCCTTAATCAATTAAATTAAAAAAAACTACAAGCAACCCCTCAGTTGCCAAGTATAAGTAAAGTCTCGTCCCGTATTAGAAATTCGTAAGTTTTATGAAAATTGGCTCCTACCTACGTTGCAGTATTCGATTGAAGGGGTTGGAAATTTTGTGGTAAGTCAAATATTTATATTTCCTTAATGAATTAAATTAAAAAGAACTACAAGCAACTGAAGCAACTCCTCAGTTGCCAAGTATAAGTATAATCTCGTCCCGTGTTAGAAATTCGTAAGTTTTATGAAAATTGGCTCCTACCTACGTTGCAGTATTCGATTGAAGGGGTTGGAAATTTTGTGGTAAGTCAATTATTTATATTTCCTTAATCAATTAAATTAAAAAGATCTACAAGCAACCCTCCAGTTGCCAAGTATAAGTCAAATCTCGTCCCGTATTAGAAATTGGTAAGTTTTATGAAAATTGGCTCCTACCTACGTTGCAGTATTCGATTGAAGGGGTTGGAAATTTTGTGGTAAGTCAAATATTTATATTTCCTTAATGAATTAAATTAAAAAGAACTACAAGCAACCCCTCAGTTTGCCAAGTATAAGTAAAGTCTCGTCCCGTATTAGAAATTCGTAAGTTTTATGAAAATTGGCTCCTACCTACGTTGCAGTATTCGATTGAAGGGGTTGGAAATTTTGTGGTAAGTCAAATATTTATATTTCCTTAATGAATGAAATTAAAAAGAACTACAAGCAACCCCTCAGTTGCCAAGT